TAGACAAGTAAGATATTTTGAAAGATTTTCTAATAAAGTGCTGAGCATATTTTTATGGGAAATAGTGTAAGTATAATCAATAACTAGTTGTATTAATCGTTTGTTCGACGCTCATTACGAGTCACTAGGCACATTTTGAGTCAAGCTTATATGCTCAGTAAGAGGTCTCAAATGGATAAAATATATGAACACATCACGTATGTGACAAAAAAGTATTTTATTATTTCAAATTTGGATTAAAGTATTATTATCTTTTTACTATTAAAAGTATTATTATTTTATTATTATTTCTGAAATAGATAAAAGTATATTTTATCCATTTGACACCACTTACTAAGCATAAAAGCTTGACGCAAAGTCTGACTAGTGGCTCTTAGTGAGCGTCGAATAAACAATCAAGGTAACTAGTTACTGATTATACTTGGTAGGTTATCATTTACCCCAAATTGGTCACCACAAATGCATCCTCAGCAAATACCTCATTTGGGGACTTTTTTACCCTGAAATATATCATACATCCTGTAGGTCAATACCATCTTTTTTCTCTTCCAAAACCGCATTACCAAAAATAACCCTTTCGAAGTCATATCTATTGGAAGTGTTTCTTTAGCATTAGCTAAAAATAAGAACAGTTTTATGATGAATCTGGTGACCAGAATGTATTTTGGGTTACTACAGCGAACAATTTTGAGGTGAATCTGGTGACCAGAATCTATCTTAGATTACTACGAAGTCCTCTTTTTGGCAACTCAAAATATATTCTGGTCACCAGATTCGCTTCAAAATTGTTCGTTGTAGTAACCCGAAATACATTCTGGTCACCAGATTTATCATAAAACTGTTTTTATTTTTAGCTAATGCTAAAGAAACACTTCCAATAGATACGACTTCGAAAGGGTTATTTTTGGTAATGCGGTCTTGGAAGAGAAAAAAGATGGTATTGACCTACAGGATATAGGATATATTTCAGGGTAAAAAAGTCCCCAAATGAGGTATTTGCGGAGGATGCATTTGTGGTTACCAATTTGGGGTAAATGATAAATATTCATTATACTTACACTATTTCCCATAAAAATATGCTCAGCACTTTATTAGAAAATCTTTCAAAATATCTTACTTGTCTATTTCGAAAAATTTATCTTTACTTTATCATGTGTATATTTTTATTACTATAAGGGAAGATGTTATTCAATTATATGCCATTTGAAAGGCCGTCACGAGTACTACAAACTGATATAGGAACATAATAGTTAGACATTGTTTAATGTGTCCATATAAACGAATTTTACCGCGTCCCGAGACTTATGAAACACCCTGTACATACATAACGGGTGGATTGAAAATTTGAGACAAAATGTTTGCTCATTTTCGGCCCACTTAAAAGTATTTCAGACGAGTCGAAACTTGTGGGTTAGAACGAAAATTTTCTGCTCTTTCTGAATATGAGTTTAGAAGTTTCGTGTCAGATTTTGTTCAAGAGTGATGAGGGAATCTTTGAAAGGCCTGAAAAATTAGTTTGGACAAAAAAGTTTTCGCATTTTTTATATTTTAATTATTGTGATTCGAAACTTAAAGTCGGAATCTTTATTACTCTATCAGCTGGTAGAGAAAAATCTGCCCTACAACATGTACTATTTGAGGTTTTCGTGGTCGTTAGGCAAGACACTTGAGCTTTTGTTTTTCCTACAGCCTCATATTTGAAAAATCGACTTTTTCATCAAAAGATGCTTTATATAAACAGGAGCTTCTGACAAAGTGCATATAATTTCACTTGTGTCAAAGCTACAACTTAATTCAATATTACATTTTCTAAAGAAGTGTCCGCTCTGCAAAAGGACAGTGTCCGATAATTTTTAACATCTTCGCAAAGGGACATATATGGGTTAGGAAAAATCTGTTTATGTGTCATCCAAATTAGTTTGTAAGGCGTTTAAAGATTACTTCAGTGCTCTTGAATAAAAACATACACAAAACTGCTAAGGCCATATTCAGAAAGAACACAAAATTCTGGTTCTAACCTTTACCTTTTGACTCGTTTGAAATATTTTCAAGTAGGCCAAAATGAATAAAGATTGTGCTCAGAAACTTCGGCGCACATATTCTGTCCAAACGAATTTTTCAGACCTTTAGAAGACTCGCTCACTACTCCTGAACAAAACCAGATACAAAATGTCTAAGCTCATATTCAGAAAGAGCAGAAAATTTTCGTTCTAACCCACAAGTTTTGATTCGTCTGAAATACTTTCAAGTAGGCCAAAAATGAGCAAACATTTTGTCTCAAAACTTTCGATCCACCCGTTAAGAGGTTTTTTCGTCAATTTGATTGTTGAAAATTCTTAAGATGGTTTTTGATTGATTGATCAAGCTTAATAAAGCTAATACCTTCGATTGGTTAAGAAACAATAGATAGATAAATGGTGATCCATAAGTTTTGAATCTTCTCAGGAAAATTGTTCTTTCTTCGTTATAAAAAATCCAAAAAAAAGTCCAAATTTTGATAGATAATCTCTTGTAACACGGCGCATATTATCCTAAAGTTTCATGTCTCTATCCATACAAATAAGAAAGATATGTACGCTCGGAAAAAATAATTAGAGTTCGTTTTTCGAAGATATTGTCACTATAAAAACATATTTTTTGAATAATAATTACATATTCTGAAAGCCCGTGGAGGTTTCTATCACTCTGTATATTTACATTTTAGTTCGTACCAATGTATCACGATAAAACATAGGATACAATGAAGGTACCCACATGTCCAAATTCCCACAGACTTGATTTTTTTATTGTTATCAAGATTAGTTTTTTAAATTTTTCATTACTATAGAATTCTCTTTTTTTAAAACCAATTATAGATTCCGATCGAGCTTGAAATTCTCTATCATCATATATATTTCTTTATTTTCTTACGTTCATACAAAGCGCCATAATTTAAAAATAATGAATGCAACCATACTCGACAAGTATAAAAAATCCACATTTTTTCGATATTTTTTTTGATTCCTTTAGAATCATCATTCTCAAAAAAATAAATAATATAAAAGAAATTATATCATTTTATAGCCTATGAAAGTCTCCGTCGTTCTATGCACTTTTTCATTATCCTGAACTCGTTCTCCAAGAAATGTTCAGATATTACATAGACACAGTTTTGGACAAAATTTTGGAAAAATGCATTGTTCTTATTATCTGAGTATTTTTTATTTTCAAATCCAACAACAAAATAAAATTTTTATACAAGAAATAATATGTATTGATGGTGATGTAAATTTTCAATTATCTTGAACTTGCTCAGCTTTGATTCGCTATTATTTGATAACAAATATCTTGAATATGGTCAATATAGTCACGTATAATAGATCGTGGAATTTGATTCCAGGCATCAGTTACTAATTGTTCAAGACGTTGTTGAGAATCAGGATGACGTCGTTGAATATAGCTGTTCATCCATGACCATACAGACTCAATCGCATTTAAATCAGGACTTGCAGCAGGATATTCATCTAAACAAATCATCTGATGTCTATGCAGCCAACTGTGTGATATTCTTGTATGAGCCCAAGTATGATGATCACAAGTGAGAAAAAGCTGACTCTGAGGCCTTGGAGTCACATGGAATCACTTGGGGTCACATGGAATCACTTGGGGTCACATGGAGTCAGTCAGCGCCAACAGATGTATTTCCTCGGAATCATCTTTAATAAGATCTCCGAATGGTCGGGAATGCATTTTTTTTATCGAAAATGTGTTTTCCACGAAGTGGACAGTTTTATAATTACAGTAAAAAAATGCATGTTTTCTCTATCAAGCTTCAGTATAGTGTCCTTGAAACGACATATACTCGAAATTCATAGAATCGTATAGCAGCCCATGTTTTTTCATATGGTATACAAGAAATTTCCACTGTGCGAGTTGACTAAAAGCACACCCGGAGTAGTTTCAAGTTCTTTGTCACAATCTGTTTGAGGTATTTTCCAACATTTTCTGTACAATTTCGATGTATCTTTCCGATATTCGAAGCCAATATCAGATATACCAGGCGTCACAAACTGGTTGCACACTTTTTATTTTACTAATATTTCAGCATGGATAAATGATGTAACCTCAAATGTTTTTCTAAAACATGTGCCTTCAAATGCTCTACTAAACCTGATGAAAAACCTCTTTCATTTATTTCGATAATTGGTTTTAGCTGCTTAAAAGTTAAGGTCAGCATGTTTTCAGGATCTGGATGAACTACAGGCTCACAACTACACCCTTTCATGATTTTCTTTTGACAGCCTAGGTCTCGAATATCTTTGAATTCAATAAACAAATAAAAGACCATTTTCTTTTTCTCGACCAATTAAAGTACTTTGCATTTTTCTGATGATCAGTTCCATTCCTTTCATCGTTTGCTGGCCAGTCAAATTGTTTCAGTAATTTTCCTTAACTCGAAAGATTTATTCAGTTTCTTTTCAACAGGAATTCAAATAATAAAACTGATTTTCTAAAAGAAAATTAAGAAAAAATATGATTGGTGCAACTAAACTGTCCTAGCACAGTTCCCTTTTTTTTTATTATTGTAACCAATCGCTGTCATTTTTTTCTTCTTCGCTCTATGTTAACATTTTGCTTCTCACTCCTCGATTTTGACCGAAGCTCTCTCCTATATAATTCCATGTCCTTCGTGAGATAGACACAACTGGCAACGTGACTTGATTCAATAAATATTATTGGAGAACGGGTGGCACACTGCTTTGCTAGTTCGTCATTCAATGTATCCAAAGAAAAATGTTATTGGATGACGAGAACGCATTCTTAACTGATACCCTCTATTTGGGCCCATATGTTACTCATAAATAGATTTCAATGAGACTAATAGTCAACAAGGATTCACCCAGTATACCTTTCTTTCGGAGTCATGAAAGTTTTACTGATTTCCTGCCTCTGATGAGATTTTCATCCAAAAATATAATAAAGAAATTTCTACCTGAAATTCCGTCTATAAATTGGTCTTCTGGTCCTTCGAATATATTCAAAATTACGCTCAAAACAGTTACTTTTTTCTTGAAATATTGAAAGATAAAAAGATCAGATTTTAAAACACAAGAATATCTAACTTTCTTCGAGATTTAATCATTCGAAAGAGAAACTTATTGTGTCCAAAACTTTGAATATATCTGAATGACCAGTGGCCTACGGATAGAAAAAATTTTAGGTCGAAATTTCTTTGTACTTGTTTCGATGACGACGTTGCCAGTTCTTCTTCAGAGCGATGACGCTTTAGAACTAATTAGTCGCAAGCGACAGGGCACATTGAAACGTAAGGGCTTCAAAGCATGTCGGTGTTGGGGTGTTGCTGATCTAAATAAGTACCACGTTGTCAGAGGCTGAAATGCAGAAAAAAACGCTAATCGCTTCAATAGGAAGGCCTATGAAGTCGAATAATCTTTGGTCTCTTATTATTTCATTGAATCCTACTTATGAGCAAAACGTAACCTGAAATGGACGATATTAGTGACAAATGTTCCTTATTGAGAGAAAATCAATAGAAAAAATTGGATTTGTCCAAAAAAGAGCAAGACAAAATTATTGATTCAGGAAAAATCAAAAAAACTCCCATTGGTGAAGAGAAATCATGAAAAAGTAGGATTCAGTGAGGAAAAATCGTGAAAATATTATTGGTCAAAAGAAAGTCATCCATAACCCTGGCTACTCAACAAATATAAAAATGATTTCTTAAGAGAAAACAAAGAAAGATATTTCATAGTCGATTCAGATTCGAGCAGGAAGCATGGTTGACTGAGAAGCAAGTAAATATAAGAATCAGATTAGCTGAGCTGCTTATTTTTGAAAATCTCTATTCATTTATTGCAAGTGAATTAATTGGTCAAAGATGGAAATAGCATTAGCCGAAACTGACAGAAAACGAATGACGAACTAGAAAAGTTTGAACCGAAAATGAAAGCGGCACCATTGGTTGCGATCGCGGTACATGCCTTGGTAAAATGGAAGCGAAAAAAAGCGATCTCCATCATTAGAGGAAAAAATCACGTTTCCTTCAGAGACTTAATAGAGCTGAAAATTTCGGGGTCGACTCCTGGGATGACTAGTAACTGAACAAAGAAAAAATAAAATTTAGCTAAGCCCTTTTAATAATGTCGTCCGAAAAGCTTGTATGGATAAAGGGATAATAAATCTTGATGCTGTCAAAGGGAAATAAGTATGCTAAGATTGTAGCCCATAGTCGACTTGCTATTGCTTTCATTTCTAAAATTTAGTGGAATCTAACTTGAGCTGATTATCGGATGATATTTGAAAAAGCATGTTGCTACATACACAGGCCTGCCCAGAATCATCGTGTTAAAAAGAATCAACATGGTGGGGCTAAGTCGGCTATGGGCTACAACCATAGTATAGTCATTTTTCCTGTAGCGATATTGATAGTTTTAACATCCGTGTTTCCTCTACACCTTACCGATTGTTCGAGTGACAATATTAAAAGTGCGTAGTTCAAATTATATTCTTGTACTATCCAGTTGCTAAGAAATCCAAGAATCGACTTTAAGCGCTTCAGATGTTTAAATTTCTTGCAACAAAATTTGATTGTTACCTAATGAATCTGATTCGTTTTTCTCGACTGTGTACTTGTCATTATACTCTCATTCGGCGCTTGATAAATCTAACCTTAACATTTTCGATCAGAACATCTGAAGCTAATCATGGCGAAAGAATGAACATCTATTTCTCCAATAAACACAAATAATCAAAATTTAAATTACTAAGCTCAAAATACCTAAGTATTCGGCAGAATATGTCGATATTGATTGATTTTTGAAGAATTTGGTGGTTCCTTTAATTATATAAGCATGTTTAAAAGCTTCTAACATTGTTTACAGTCAATGAAAATCGTTGGAGTACCTTGAAATGATGTGAATATGGACGTGAATGTAAGTCTATAGTTCACCCACACTCTCTATGTAGACAATTCAAATCGATTGGAATTATTTAAATTCATCTAGAGTCGCATGGAGTCAGATAGAGTCACTTGGAGTCATCTGGAGTTAATAGAGTCATGGAGTCAGCCGTTTTCCCTAGGGAAAGTTACATTTACTGACCAGTTACGTTACCTGGTAACTAAATAGTAACTGAAACTTTTCGAGTTCATAGAGTGCAAGGTAATTTTCTAAAAATAAAGATATTTTATAAAATTTGAGCAAATGCAATCAGGGTTGAGAAATTGGAATCTGTAATCGGTTTCTCAAAATTTTAGTTTGCTTATTTGGTTAGAGAAAGGGTATTTTTCGAAAATAACCGTGTTTATATAAAGTTTTATGAAAGTTAATCGCGGTTGATGAATCCGACTTTATGATCGGTTTCTCAGAATTTTGAGTTTGTTGTTTTAGTAAAAAGATACATTTTAAGTGAAAACAAATCGAACTCAAAATTTTGAGAAACTGATTACAGATTTGAATCTTCCGACCTCGATTACCTTTGACCAAACTATAGAAATTTGTTATTTTTAGAAAATATCCTTCTCCTAAAGAAAATGGCGTGGGTGTCGGTGTGGATGTTGGTACGAAGCAGAGGTACCCTAACATCAACACCCACATTCACACCCATCTAATTTGATGAATATATTTTGTAAGCAGTGCAATTTTAGTATAAAGCACATTTTTTTTCAAAAATTTGCTGAAGTTCCCGAACAATGACGTCTAGACGTATAACTCTGAAAATTGTTATGCAGAGACAACGTTTTATGCTCTATTCAAGAATAAAATCAGAATTTCCAAGAGCGTTCAAGGAAAATGCAAAATGGCCGATTCTCGGGGTCAATTTTCGATAAGATCGACTTTTGAACCCGCTCTTCTCCAGTTAACGCATGATTTGAATCGAAACAAAGTATCAATTTTTGCATAATTCGACGAAGACTACAAAATTAGCATATTTTAAATTTTGCCGGCAGAAAGTCGATCTAAAAGTGGACGGATCAGCGTGGAAGTACCCGTCATAAGTAGCTTGGATTCTAAAACTTTTTGAGGTGAAAGACATCCCGCAGACCCAGACTCGTACTCCAAATTATACGTAATCAGTAAAAATGCGATTTTGATCTGTAAAATGAGGATCAAATAAAAGATAATCGATGCATTTAAGACATAATTGAAAAATGAAAGGCGACTGATTATACAAGCTCAAATAAGATATAATTTACAGATGAAACAGGTTTCACATTAAATATAAAATTTGAATGGTTAGTAAGATGAATCGTAACTTTCGAGATGTTTAATTTTCTTGTTTTTAATATAGGGAAGCGAAGGCGCTTATTCATTTCGAAATACATCATCATTTTTCATCACTGTGTTATCATTGTAGTTAGTTGTCGGCTCAGTGAGTTGCAATCCGGATGAAGCCGATACAAATACAACTTTTCCTGTAGCCCGTGAACATGTTGACATATCGATTTTATTGTTTCTCTGCAATAGTTTCATTACTGAGATGTAGAAAGTCGCATGCAAAACTGTACCTTGTCTGCA